CTGGAGCAATGGGACTTTCTTGTAAATGAGATGCTATGCTTTCCATCACACACTTTGAATAATTCACTAAAATTCAAGTGCATGATAACAGCTTCCTCAAAGTCAAGCCTGAGCTAACCTGAGAGAGGTTTTGGTCAGTGGTGGTATACCTGGGCAGTTTCACTAAAGCCTATAGCACACATCACCTAAAAGAAAAAAGTGGTTTTAATAGTAGAACTTCACGAATTATTGATATCACTTCCTAATATGTATTTACTGTAATTTTCTGTGCTCAGGAGTTTAGCTGCCTATGACAGTGTTTCCTAGCAAGAGCAAATGTTAATTAAATCTAATTTTCTCTTGTCTTGCTTCTCTTAAAAATATTTGCAGCTGGGTACTTACAAAAGTAAAGTTAGTTATTTTCGGTACTGTTTCAAACCTGGTTTTCATTTTCTTTATGCAAGTGCGTGCAGCCTGTCCCAGCACCAGTGATCAGTGTCCAGGCTGCCTGGCTTTCCTGCTGCATGTGCCAGGAGGGGGAATTTTGCAGCTGGCATCAGGGGGTGAGCTGCAGCCCAGCCTGGCAGTCCCCATCTCTGGTGCTTCTATCCAATGCCTCCCGCCACCAGACTCGGTGGTGGAGTATCTGAGTAATTCAGTTCAGTTCCAAACGGCGGAAGGGAGTGCAGGGGCAAGTCCTGGCTGGGTATGGAGATAGAAAGCAGGATGTCAAGTACACGGAGGAGTAAAATAGTGAACTCAAAATTGTTGAATTGATGGCAGCAAGATAATAGAATAATGCATGAGCTTAGATTTATTGAGATTCTAGTGCCTTTCCATTGAATGAAATCATCCACAGCACCATTTCAGGCTCTCTGCAGTCTTACTCTAGCATCCATGCATCCATTTATGCTCACTCCCCTTTCTTGTTTTAAATTCTCTCTGCCTCTCTCAAGGCGAGAAACCATTTTTTCCTCTCTAAAATGCTGAAGACTGTATGTCCCAAGCTATATTCAGTCTCCTCTCTTACATTGCTTTACCCAGCACCTTTTTAAGGAGAACAGTTTGAGGTGCCATCACTTTTCTTTATCTTTCATTAATCATTTGGTAAAATCAGGTAAAATACTACTTCTTACGGCAATAGCCAAAAATCTATACTGGGCAAACACTGCAGTCCTGTACCAGGATGCTAGATGGGTAGTGGTTTATACATTAACATGCCTTTGCATAATACTGAAATATCAGGCGCACAGCAGAAAACTCTTATGTTGTTGGGGCTTTTTGGGGCAAAGATCCAGAAGTAAGAGTTCAGGTTTTCATCCTGTTAGGGATACTGATTCATAGGGTCTTTGGACAAGTATATAGCTGTTAAACTCCATGTTTTGTTAATTGTCCTGCCAGCTTTTTCTCTTCTTAAAATCAAGAGAGTAATTGTGCATACCTAACTCCCAGCACTGCATATAGTAAGTGACTGAGGATTAAGTTTACAGACTTACTGCTTAGGGTACAACAAGTTACTTTATTCATCAGTGGTGGTGCATTTAAAAGTAGAGAAAAGAGGTCAGCTGCACCTGCTGCAGTTTTAGGCTGCATGTAGAAGGGTGAAAAGTGATAGAAGAAAAATAATCATTGTGTGTTTTTTTGCAGGGAAGCTTGGTCGCTTTCCACCAGGGATGCATTACCAGGCCATTCCTGACAGCCGAGCTGCCCCTCATTTTCCAAGGTCTCACCTTGCTGAAGCCGTTGCCAAAGCCAAGGCAGGTGGAGGTGGTGGTGGAAGCACTGGTGGAACTGGGAGAGGTCTTGTGGGGCAGATTATCCCTATATATGGATTTGGCATCTTCTTATATATCCTGTACATTTTATTTAAGGTAAGACCAACATAATTTGAAAAGCCAGAGAAATAACTAAAAAACCCTCAAAACAGAAATGATAGTCCGGCTTCTGTACCTGGTTCCATTTCAGCCTTGCTCAAAAAAAACCCCTTATGCTAGACCTTTGACTGGTGGTTGAAAGATTGGTGTATCCTGTGGGTTTTGCTATTGCAAAGACTGTAGCTAAGAATGGAGGGATGGGTTGCTGAAATCCTGTATTGGCCTCTGGCTTCTTACAATTTTTTTAAGGATTTTTTTTCCCCCTGAAAAATGTGTATGTCTAGAACAGTGTTAGATTAATCTTGAATATACATATAGTATTCTATTAGGTGTGACTACATATTATATATACACTGTATATGTCATGTATTGTGTTATGCATTTAAAGTAGGAGAGAGGCAGTACAATTATTGCATACCTTCTGGAACAAAAGCACCACACTGTTGGAGAACGGGAGTTTGTAAGGTTATATTGACCACACTGGAACTACCACAGCTGAGGAACTGCTTGAAAGATAGTTTACAAAAGCACAGCCAAAATTTCCCCTCAAGTGTTTCACACATAGTTTGAACTTCTCATGGCTTTTTGTTATGCAGACGTGACTTGCATGTAGGTGACAAGAGTCAGCTGTGGGGCAGGAGGGAGAAGTGGACTTGTGGAAATGTTTTTTACTTTGAGTGGGGGCTAAATACAAACTGAGCAGCTTGCTGTCGACAGACAAGAGGCAAGAACGAGGTGAATTGGGTGAGCTGATCAAACACGAAGACAAAAGAAATAGATTGCCTGCAGCTTCTGTATTGAGCCAGCCAGTATCTTTGCTGCAGGTACAAAGTTGGTAAGGAATAATGGCAGAAAACGTTGCAAGAGGGACAAGTGCGGTGTCATGACCCAAACTGGGCTGCCCAGAGAGGATCATGGTGGTTCTGTGATTCCCTTGGGCTAAATTAAGGTGAAACGACACCAAATGATCGCTTAAACACTTACATTGATGGTAAACACCAACCTGAACTTGGAAAGCATAACAGTAGGCAACCTGAACGAGGAAAATGCAACAATAGGCAATGTGGGTTCTAATTCAAATACGTGTCAGAGGAAAGGAAAAGGAAGAAAGGGTGGGGGGAGGGAGAGAAAGAGATCACCACCCTTGGATCCCGCAATGTCGATGGTAACCGTGGCAATCCGCTGGCGGTGGGCACGCTGCTCTTGGAGCTCAGGGCCTCCAGCTGTGCCAGCACTGGGTGAGGGAGGCCGGTCCGGAGCAGCAGCAGCGTGGAGTCCTCCGGTGGTGGGGGTGCACACGTGGCTCCTCAAAGTTGTGTCCTTTATAGGCCAGTCCCCGCATCTAGTCTCACTCTCCTTGAGGCTTGTTCCAGAATGTTCTTCACCTTCTGTGCAGGCGCCACTGGGGGGGACGGGGTGTGGTTGCGAGGGGTCTTTTGGGTGGTTGTGAGCCCCTTCTTCAAATGAACGCCACATGACCTTCAGCCATCAGAAGGCAGAACTGTGCATCCTCCGACACACCTCCCAGCTCCATGTGTTCGGTTCGGCTTCTCACCTGTGGCTCAGTAGTGCTATGCAGACCCTAATTTATCGCTATGCAGACCTTAACTTGTCCCACCATGACATTTGAGACATTAACTCTTTCAGTCTCTCACATGGGTTCACATATAATTCCTTCAGAACTTGTCCTGTATTTCACAATAATTGCCCAACGCACTTTTTTTCCCCTCCTATACGCAGAAGAATTACAGGATCAGGCTGCAACAGATAAATATTCTAAAATGAAAAAGTTATTTTTGATGAGTTATAGTTTCACTATGCTTAGAAATATCATTTGTTCCAAGTGTCTTTTGGGAGTTTTCAGCTGGCAAGATCTCCCAAGCATCTTTCATGGTTGCCTGTTTTTGCTGCTGAGCATGCTTTTCCGTAGTTACTTTCTGGCATATTTTAGTTTTCCATCCTTTTTTCTGTAGCCTTTGGGGCTTATATATTACTGTTGCTGTAACTCATAGAAGGGTTGTCTTTTTTTCACTCATCAGCTGGCTTCCAAGGGAAAAACTGTTGCTGGAGAGCGGAAATGTGCTACTGCTGCATCTGGAAACATGAAGAGGAAAATCAGTGAGTACGACTTCTGAGTTGTATCTGTGTAGCTCTTGACTCTGTGAGGCATGGTCCAACTGAGTTCTTCAAGTTCTGGGCACACTGTAAAGCTGCTGTTCACCCCCGTAAAGAGCAAGCCAGAAGCTTCTGTGTTGGAATAAGCAAGAGTTAAAGTGAATTACTGCACCATCACTTCCTAATCTTATTCAGCTAATGAGACTGCAATAGTAGCCTGATCCCATGCTCGCCTGGAAGCAATGGCTTTTCCTGAGGTTCACTGAATTAACTGTACGGATTTGCTGAAAAGCTATGGAGCTAATGATTAAAAATGGATAATAGGATGTCCATCTGTAATTATTCTATAATCCATAATATTCTAGTAATTGTATATAAAGATATTATTAAAAGCTGCCTTCATTTTTTTGAATTTGCGAATCCTAAGCCATCACCAGGCATTTCCCTACTTTTTCCCTTCCCTTTTTACAATTTTGATGAGAAAGCAAACAGTATTCTGAAATGTTACTGTGATTTTACCTAAATATCGGTGGGATAGATTCAACTATTTGTAGACATTTATTAGATAAATTAATATGCTTACTGTTAAAGATTGGATGAGTAGTTACCATAACAGTCTTTAAATGTGTCATGTTTAGCTGGCTAAATTGTAATAGGAAAGAAAAGTACTTAGGGCTTTATAGAAGGTGCTAGCAGTAAGGTAATTCTCTTAACATAGCTGTAATTATCTTGACATTAATGCGTATATTAGGAATACCTAATGTACTCAGTACTATAGACTGTATTTTCAGTGCACTTGTACTGCATTGTGCCTGGCAATTTTGTGCAATTTATTAGCAACGGTAATTGTATTTTTTTCTCTAATGCTTGGTAAGAGAAACTAACTTTTCAGTAAGTTAATATTTACTGTCATTATAACCCAAAGAACTAGTGATGAAAATTATTCTGCCTTTTTCTAGAGCTCTTTATTTGTATTCCTAAAGCATTCATTGCAAGCTGTAGCAGAGCAGGGGACAAGTCACTGGACTAGGAACCACTTACGTAGTGACTTGGAGGGAGTAACTTCCTTTCTCTTTGCCAGTTTCCCTTCCCCTATTTTTAAAGTCTCAGACAAATAATTACATTCTCTGCAGAATAGAGGTCTTTGCCAAAGAAGGATGTTTGTGGATGGCTTTCTCGATTCCTACGATGTCAGAGTTCCATTGTGCCTTTGTGCTGCTTAAATGGGTGTGCCTGTAGCAGCTGAATATTTAACTAACCCAGGCTGGTTTCATTTTGTTCTGCAGTTGGGAACAATGAAGTCTCAGCTACAAGATTTTGAGCATGAGCTACAAAAGCCAAACAAGGAGCTCTAGCATTTTTGTTGATGTCCATGCTGTTGCATCTTTATTGTTAACGCTTTTGGCTAACTTAGAGCCAGTATGGGTGTTCCTGCATGCATACGTATGTGTCTACTATAGTATTATGGACACATTTTTTTGAAAAAAGTGCAACTGTGGACATACTGTGCTTTGCTCCCCAGACAGACACCATGTGGCTAGCTGTTGTTCATCCCGGTAAGCCTGGCAGACCATTAGCACTCACTGCCTACCCTGGCACGCCTGTGCAGGGTTGGATGCCATCAAGCCCATGAACTTTATTCTGTTCAACAAAGATGTGGTTTCTCAAACCATAGACTCATTAGAAAATGCCTAAGTGACCTTTTGTCTCTGTTCCCAAGGTCTTAACAGGGAAATTCCATGAGAACTATTAATTCGGCAGTAGACAGTAAAAGACTATGGTTTCCTTGGGGGGGGAAGTATTTTCTTTTCCCTAACTTTAATCTCGAGGGCACTTACAGTGACCCACTCACTCTGCTTATTGGGAGGTTGCTCAGGAGCCTTTGAAAGAATTCTGGTGCTTTCTCTGTGTCTTATTACCATTGACAATAGTCTCCACCTTCTTATATCAGGAAAATTAGATAGAACTCTTTAAGCTGCATGTTTTACTTTCCTCACAAACAGTTTGGTTTGGTACAGCATATGCTACCTGTGATAATGGGACAGGGATACATTTTCAAAGCTCCTACTGACAGATCTTGTGATCTTGTTTGTTTTACAGCTGACTATGAGCTCACTCAACTCCAGGAAAAACTGAGAGAGACAGAAGAAGCTATGGAAAAATTAATGAACAGAGTAGGACCTAACTATGACAGGTATGTTTCAAATTACAGCAGTTCAAGGAGAGATTCTGCTCTGATGAGAAATTAAACTTTCTTATACTGGCTATATTAAAATAGCATTTTTATTACTACTTCAAATTGTAGAAATTTGATTTTACACATCACACTTTTTGTTCTGCAGTTTTTCTCTTTTCAGCGTCTGTACTTCAAATAAATAATTTTTTCCAAATTCATTTTCCTTAAACAGAAAAACAACTATCCCTACCCTTCCCCTTTGTACAGTGTGTTATTTGGAAGATAATGACAGGTATGTGTAAACAGAAAATAAAGTGTCTACATTTAAAGTATATAAAACAACCTGTCTTATGTGACCAAAGTAATATTCTGAATGATTCCTAAGAGACCCATTTGTTTTATGTTATTTTCCAGTTCTAGGGATCATTTTTCTAAATAGAAATGCTATTATAATCTATGTAAATGCCTGTTAGAATATCAATAAAATATATCTTTAAGGGCAGACTTGTATAATAATCTGATTCCATAACTTAGTTCCACCCTGTAGCCAGTAAATCCATGCATTTGCTGCTAAATATAAAAGAAAAAAAGAGTTGTAAAATCAGGATTTAAAAATTTATTATGTTCATCAATGTTTGCTATAAATCTGAGATCACTATTCTACATTATAAAGAAACACTGGAAACAAGTCTATGTTTTTCATAAGGAGTGTAACAATACATCAATAGGACAATGCATAACTGCAGTGTTTAAAAATTTAAATACCATGAATATTAAGATGATGTTTGCAAGCAAAAAAGATAGCTGTTCAGGCTGTAACGCATGTTAACTTTGGATCAGTCAATGCCTGTTTTAACCCATTCTGTAGGAACAATTCTGTGCTGAATTTGCACGTTTATGTTCTTCATTTTCCTGCTTCAAACCGCATTCTCTTTGAGCAGGTAGTTTTGCCCACTTTGCACCATGCTCTGTATTGCGGCTGCACTCGTCTCAGCAAGACGAGGTGCCAAACTTGCCTGTGTCAGGCCAGGTTTCAGCGAGACAACCCCTAAGCAGCCCTGGTTTTGTTAGTGAAACAGAAGGATACTATTTTGAATATTACTCTTCTCTGTTTTGGAGACCTAATGCAATGCTCTACGTGTACCTTTAAGCTGCCAGAAATAGGCTTATGAGCTGCCCAGATATGGTGCTGGCTCTCAGGATAGGATATTTTTTACTGAGAAAATGGGTTTAGGGTCTGATCCAGTATTTGTTCCACTCTGTGTTACTGGCTCAGAGCCTTTATTTAGTAGAACTTCCCTGCTTTGTTCAACCAAACTATTTATATAGATGGATCTAAAAGCCTCAGGGGAAATCAGAATCTGAATCTAATAAAGAATTTTGTATGAAGCCTCTTTAAAGAGAAGGGGGAAAGCACCTCTAGATGGAGCAAATAGCTGTTTTTCAAATACACCCAGACTTTGAAGCTTTCTTAATCTACACTGAAACTCATTAAGTTCAGTAATACCAGATGAATGTCTTAAAATAAAATGTATGGTTAGAAAGTGTAATTAGACCACAGAGTACAGTGCTAGGCTTATTCAATCTGGATGATGATAGATTTAAATTAAAAGGAAAGAGGAAGAGAGCAAAAATTATTTGAGCTCTATTTATTAATATGCAGTTAAACAGAATTCCTTACAACAGAAGAGTCAGAGAAAGAAATAACTGGTATCAGTTTTAAACTAATGCTGAAAGACCCCAGGTGAGACCATGGCCCATTATACTACATATGGCAAAGCGACTCCCAGCCTGCCAAGTGAAGTATTAGTAACCAAACCAGAGGACGTATTTTGCATTGTCACAAAACCCGATGTATCACAACAACACACAGTGTTTGTAGTAGTGTCGAGGTCTGAGCTCCTGCCTCAGTGTCCTCTCACTATACTTCAGGAGCGTTCTCCTCCCAGCTGAACTGCTCCAGGATTCATCCTGGCTTTCTCCTTCTGGTGAAGGAGTCCAAAGACATTCTGATTTTGTATATTTTCTTCAACAAAACATTGCTTTTGAAATCCAGATGAGTTTGGAAGCACAGTTTATTCTCAGATAATGCTGTACCATAGAAAGAAATCCCATTTCAAAGGAATAATATATACTGTACTGTGTGATTTTATGCTGCTTTCTTATGTAGCAAGCATAGATATTGTTTTCTTGCTGTGGCTTGTCCTGCTTATTTCTTTTTCTTTCAAAAGCATTTGAGTGAAGTGAGGCTGGAAGACCTCTCAATACTTAGCCCATTTTCTCAGATGGGATAGCTAGTATTAGCCAGCCCTGTGTTGAAGAAAGTAGGCAGGCAGAGACTTGGATTCGCTTTTCTTTTAAATGAGGCTTGAAGACAAACCTCCAAACCAACCACGGACGCCTCCAGTTGGAGGAATTCCTCCAGTTGGAATTGCTACAGCCTTAAGTACAGAAACCCCCTTGCAGAAATGCAAAACTTTCAAAAAGTACAAGTACAGATACTTTTAATAAGGCCTAGCATGTATCAGCAAGGACTAGAAGCAAGGTAAAGAAAGCAAGAGGAAGACAGAACTACCTTGTCAGGTCCTCAGCAACATAACCGAACCTAAACTGAGAGACAGACAAAGATAATTGTTACCTAATGCACGTGCTGTAATGGGTAGTACTTAGTACCTAAGGATATAATGATTCACGGCTCTGAGAAAACCTAGCACTCTTCCCAGCTCTTTTTTTAACAGGTTATAAATTTAAATTATACAGTTTTGTAATTTATCATCACATCCTATCACTAAGGGGACCTCAGTATCTCCAGTTTCTAAATGTAGACCTTTACAGTCCAGTATCTCTCAGCAGAGATGAGGAGCCTTTCTAGGAGTTTGATGATTCAGAAATAAAGACTTGATTGATGGTTATATAGGGCGCTCTGCATTAAAAGCATGCATACTGCTTTTCTCCAGGCTTTTAGCAATTTTTTCCAATGTTGGGACAGTGATATAATGGGAACAAAAGATTTCCCTACCCATTCTCACAGATGTCTTACCCATATTCTTTTCACCACTGTCTGTGAAATTTGGTATTTTGAAGCCACTTTAAATTGAAGAATACGTGTAAATATTTTTCTCAATGGGAGTATTGTACAATACTCTCTTGTAAAACAAAAATCTCAATCTGTGGTAATTAGGTAAGAGGTAGAAATAATGCAGCTCAATTACCTGTTTTTAAAGCCCTGTTTACCAGGCTGTCCATTGGAAAAACTTGCCTTTTTACTATAAACTAAGCAAATGTGATATGGAAGAGAGAGAGAGAGAGAGGCTGTACTCTGTGGGGTGCCATTTTTGGGCTATAGCTGCATTATAATAATGATTATTTTAAGATCATGAAGCAAAAAAATACAGGTTGACATGTCTGAGATACCATGTTAGATTATGGATTTTCACTGCACTCATGATAGCTCTTTAAGAAATGTTCTGATCTCTGTGTAAGAGTAAGAAACCTTTACTTTACCTGTCAGTGAGCACTTTGGGAAGAGTCCCAAAACGTAAGCATTGCCACTATGAAAAGTAATAGCTGTGTTGGAGCTACAAACACACAGAGCAAAAATAATGACCTTTTTCTTACACTGTAAACCTTTCGCATCTGTTGTCCTCTTAGTATTTGTAAGTAAGTGCATTGTACCCTGGTAAATCTCCCGTACACAGGCAGCCAGATGTCATACATTGCCAGCATCCTACATTAAGTCTTCCTAGAGGCCTTAAATGAAGTAGAAATAGTGCATGGGCTTTGGTTTCTCCCTCTCTACAGGGAAATCTGTCTTTTAAACAAGGTATCTGGAGGAGGAACACTCCGCAATACAGAGACTTTGTGTTGTAATAAGACACTAGTGCTTTCTAATGAGTATCCAGCATATTAGGAATTTCTCTGTATGAAATGCCACAGTGATGCAGCTGCATTGATTGATCCTATTATCTGAGCTAACATATCTCCCCACTGTGCTAAACAGGCAGGGCTCTCTGTCTTTTTCCAGGTGATATATATTCAAATTACATAGACTTTTGTCTATAAAAGGAGGATTAGTTTGGCAGTTCTATTACAGCTTTTGTCAAAGGCAGCTAGCTGATGAAACCATTTCTTTTTGTGTGCCTCTTAATTCACATGTCAAATTCTACATCTGCATAAGGCTTTTGAGAAGATGCTGTCTCACACCTTTGCTTGTTCTGCAGAACAAACTGCTCCTGCAACTTGAGGGGACACAGTGCAACCTCCATATAGCATCTGTATCAGCTTTTCAAACTGTGGGGCAAAGTGCAGAGAAGTGATGTTTAGCCTTGTGATCTCAGCCAAACAGTTTAATCTGGGTAGCTGCTAATGCAACCAGTGGGCCTGCTCCTGCGCTGAGTTCAGTTACAGACAATTGTGTGTGCAACTGTGCACAAAATCTAGCCCAGGGTCAGCACTTTGATGACCGTCGCACAAACCAGCAGTATGATGCTAATCTCTTTGGCTTTAAACCAGTATGACTCTGCTGCCTTTAGTGGAGTAACTATTGTGTCACCATCATTCCCATATATGTAGAGTAGCACAAAGTACCTATTAAAGTGCTGCTCTAGTCATGACAGTTAGTAAGAGGGAAAACTGAAGATGGATGCTGCAAGTTTTTAAGTTTATGATGATTCAGGTACCTGAAACAAAGTTTAGGTAGATACTAATCACCTAAATCCAAAATCATTACTCTGTTTCCAGCTCCTCCCTTCCCATCTCACCCCTAAGATTCACCGAGCAGCTGTCTAATCTTGGAGATTATCTGCCTATCTGATAGTCTGGAGGTCACCAGAGATCATCTGTCCGACCTCATGTACCACCCACAGTTCAGCATTCTGCGCATGCCAAGGGCCGCCCGCTCTGAGTACCTAGGGGCAATAGATCCTGCCTAAAACACAGCGAGATTCAAAAGAGCACCAGAGGAGTGCCTCAGTCCCCTGAGAGGCTCGAACTGGCACTTACACAGATCAAACACCTGCTCAAGAGCAACTTGAGACTCAAGATGAAATGAACACAATAGTCAGAACCATTTTCACCCCTAAGTACAGCAAGTGTATGTCTTATTCTGACCAGCTGAGTTAGTGAGTAGAACTCAGATCACCACCCTCCAAATACTTCTTTTTTGTCCGTAAGATTTTTAGGAGACTGGGGTTTTTTTCAGAGAAAATAACATGTAATGACTATATGATCTTATCTGTTGGAAGCATTTTTGTTATAACAGTAAGTAATTGTATTACCTGAGCAGTAGTAATTACTAGAATCAGCAGTGTAGAACCAGTCAAAATTATAGTTTGCTTTTAATCTGATAAAAATCTCGGTTGCCTCCCACTCTCCCTCTGATTCTAAAGAGCAAGTTAAAGTTAAATGTAACACCTTCTTTTCATTTTTAAATCTTCCTTCCTGCTTCTCCCCCCACCTCTTCAGCAGGCATTGACTCTGTATAATAACATGATGATCTGTCCAACTGACATTTCTTAATGAGGCCTTGCAAATTTAATACCATTAATGGTTATAATTAGGGATCATTAGACTCTTGAGACTAATGTCTGTGTGAGACATTTTGATCAGGCCCACAAGTTGTTTTAAATGTAGCATAGGGGCTCAATTACATTTTCTTATAAAGCTATGTGTCCTGGTTTCAGTTGGGATAGAGTTAATTGTCTTCCTAGTAGCAGGCATAGTGCTGTGTTTTGGATTTAGTATGAGAATAATGTTGATAACACGCTGATGTTTTTAGTTGTTGCTAAGTACTGCTTATGCTAGTCAAGGACTTTTCAGCTTCCCGTGCTCTGCCAGGTGCACAAGAAGCTGGGAGGGGGCACAGCCAGAAGAGTTGATCCAAACTGACCAAAGGGCTATTCCATACCATATGACGTCATGCTCAGTATATAAACTGGGGGGGGTTGGCTGGGGAGCAGCGATTGCTGCTCGGGAACTGTCTGGGTATCGGTCAGTGGGTGGTGAGCAATTGCATTGTGCATCACTTGCTTTGTATATTATTATTATTATTATTATTATCATCATCATCATCATCATCATTGTCATCATTATATTGTTATAATTACTATTTTACTTTATTTCAATTATTAAACTGTTCTTATCTCAACCCAGGAGTGTTTCTCACTCTTACTCCTCCAGTTCTCTCCCCCATCCCACAGGGGCAGGGGGAGTGAGCGAGCGGCTGCATGGTGCTTAGTTCCTGGCTGGGGCTAAACCACGACAGTATGGCACTCTAATTCTCACCTAACACTCTTTTAAAGGCCAGAAATTTCTGTAGTGTCTTTTGTACCATAACTTTTGCTTGTGTGTCACTTTCATCTTGCTCTCACATTGGCTGTACCTGCCTTCCTTTAAGTTTGTTTAAGTTTGCAGGCTTTCTGGATAAATGGATGAACCTTTATACTGAGCTGAAGTGCGCACCACATGCAGATGTGGAATAGTGATCGTACTGCAGCCAGGTTTCTTCAGACTGTGCTGCTGGGACAGACCAAACAGCTGGGTTCAAACTATGTTATTCATTTGTAATAATAGTGGATTGAATTCTGGTGTCTAATATTTTCTAGCAGGACTCAAAATGTTACAACAGACCAGGAAAAAAGGTTACTTCAGCAACTCCGAGAAATTACTAGAGTTATGAAGGAAGGAAAATTCATAGATGGCATCTCTCCTGAGAAGGAAGCTGAAGAAGCTCCTTACATGGAGGACTGGGAAGGTAAGCAAGAGCCTTTCTTACCATTACTCTGACAAGAAAAATTGAGTAAGGATTACTTGTAGTCTCGATCCTTTCAAAATTTTTTAACTTTATCCTTTCTTTTCAGAAGTCAGTGTTCAAAACTTTGCAAGAAGTGGTTTGTTTTCCCAACCATAATAGAAATAAAATAGGTTTTGAGGCATCCAGAATTTCCTTTAGTGTAAACACTACACTATCTGCTGCCAAAAGTGGCATATGAATATTCACATATGCTCCATCTGTTGATGGGTCTTGGCTGCTATAGGTTTATGTCTTTCCCTTGGGCTAGATTTCATGCAAAATCATAAAACCCTTGGAAATCAGAATCAATATATTTTGGGTAACTTACAGTTTTTACTTTTGATTAGTCATTCTTTGTTTGCTCCAATGTTGTAAAAGTCAACTCCAGGAATTCTGTCTTTTAAAAATTCTTTATTTTAATGTCCTTTCCATTCCTCAGTGTTTTCTTGTTACATTAATGTGTTTTCAAGATATCCTAGCTGAGCTGCTCACTGTCATAATTTCAAATGCGGACTTAATTCCTTGCTCTTTAAGAAGCTTTCAAAAATGATCCAAAACATGAAGCATAAACAGTGGCCTCAAGCTCTGTTTTCTTAAGTCAAGTTCATGATGCATTTTCTAAAATGAAATGCACAAAGTCATTGACGTATCTGGTTTTTCAACTTTATAAATAATGCTGTTTGTAGCAAAAGTCTTCAAAACATGAATCAGTCAATCTGTAGACAGAAATAAACAAAAAAAAAAAGATCTATTTAAAGGTCTAAGACACGCAGTTTTCACCTGTTAGCTCTCATAGCTTTCAGCAAAGCTCAGATATTTACTCCTGAAAGTCACGGTTGATATCCTGGCTCCCTAAAAATAAGTGGTTTTATCATCATCTCCCAAGAAGTCATATTTTGCACATTCTTGCTGTGGATTTAATGCTGTGACGTATACATGGCATTAAAGAGATGACTTGTACTGGCAGTGCTCAAAACAACTGTTCTAACAAACTTGTGCATCGATCACTGAAGTCAGTACTACTTTTAAATGCTGGTAACACCTCAAGCTGCATATCACTTTATTCCTAAGGTTATCCAGAAGAGACCTATCCTGTCTACGATAACTCCGATTGCTTCAAGCGCAAACAGGACACAATCCTTGTAGATTACCCTGACCTGAGCCAGCCCTCTGCAGAAGAGCTGGCAGAAAGAATGGAGGGCATGGAAGATGAGGAGCATCTGTGCAATGAAACCCTGCTATCTGATCTCACCATGGGAAGGGGCGGTCATTACTTAATGCAGAAAAAGGACGAGGTAACTGGCATCAGTGAAGAGGAGAGGGTTCTTCATCACAGCCGAAGCACTGAGGGGTGCTGCTGTTGTTACGAGGATGACGATCCTGCTGTCATAGCAGAGAACGCTGGATTCCACTCTGAGAGCTGCAGTGAAGCAGAAGAGTCAACCCAAGAGGACCTGTCTGTGGAGTCAGAAAATGAAAATGCAGCACTGAAAAAGCAAAAAGCCTGTGATTCAAATGAAACAGGCCCACTGAGAAAGCGCAACACAAAAGGACTTGAGTAATATGGACAATTTGGTGGATGTTACCTAGATGGTGAAGGTAGAGGTCATAAACTGTCATTTGTGTGGGTTTTTTTTTTCCCAGTGAAGACTTCTCTGTGTTTGTCTCCTTGTACCAATTTCATTCCTGTGGTAACAGTCACATCATCTACCTGAACTGGAAGCCAATACCCTCTTTTGTGCAGTCTTGTCATGGCTTACCATGACGTTGCCAACAGCGCTTTGTCCTTGCTTTTTGGAGACTGGTATCTTGGAGCAGATTATTTGGTTCAGATATTTGTGATTTTTTCCTTTGTGATTCTGAAGAAACAGTCCTTGGTTTTGCTCATTTTTGCCCTTTGTCATCCCGGAGTTAACCAAATGTCCCTTCTGACTTTCTCAAAAACATCTGTTTGTGTGCTACCAGTTATGAAAATTAATCAAATCCACATGTATTTATGAGATTACCAGGAAGCTGGAGGAGAAGGTATCCCTTCTTTCTCTTACCTGAATGCTAACTGATCAGCAGAACAGACCATAGTCACAGACGTGACGCTTTCTCAACTGTGTCATTGCTGCTATATGCCTGAGAAACTGTTGTCACTACAGTCCACAAAATTTGTATGCTACCCCAACCCACAGCCCATTTCCCAGCTTATTCCATGCTGAAGGACCAGTAGCCTAATTCTGTGTTCGAGGAAGAGTGTGAGCAAGACTGAAGCGTTATGAGTTGTTCTTTGTCTTTGCTGTGGTGAAACATCTTGGTGAAGCTCCCAGATGAGTGCAGGAATTCGGCCATACTTTGTGTTAGAGAAGAATACTAAAAATATCCCCGGGGATTAAAAAAGAAAAGCAGTGAGAAAGTTTGTCCTTAAAAGTACAGAAGAGAGCGAGGGTGAACATCACACTGAAAAGGAACCCCAGCACCTCCAGGCCCCAAGGACCTC